TGATTAAATTACGAAATAAGAATGTAAGTATAATAAATATAAAATTATATTTTCACTATGCTAACATATATTTATTTTAAAATTATAAATAATTGAACTTTCAAAGAAAAATTATTTTAAATAATTTTAGGACAATGTATTGTAAAATAGAAATGTATTAAATTCTGTACAAAAGTTCGTAGTTTTTAATTAAAATTTTTTTTAATAATTAATATTTTAATAAAGTTTTTCATTTTTCATTTTTTTAATAATTTACACATATTCCTTATTTTATTTATCAGAAGTCAGACTTTTGATATCTCCTATTTAAAATAAAGATTTATATTCATTTAAGATAAAAATTTTCAAGCAGATCTCATGCAAGCAGAAGTAAAATGATAAAGACACTATAATAAAATGATAACAATGATAACTCTATGATTTTCAATGTTTTTGAAGTAACTTCAAAAATATATTTTAAAGAAAAAAAGAATATTTTAAAGAATATATATTAAAATATTTAAAAGAAAATTTATATTTTAAAGAAAAAAAGAAAAGGAAAGAGTTAATATCAATTACCGATGTAATTGATAAAAATATTGAAAAAAATTATTATTGTGAAATATTATGAAATATTCTTATAAATTATAAATATCTTATAAATAAATATAACAAAAGTCGATTTTTCTTATTTATTTATCTTTTAATGTTAAGCAATTTTTACAATCAAATTCGAATTCAGAAAATATATGACATTTTTTTTTATTTTTAAGCAACAAAATTTTTCGTATTTTATCTGTATTCTCATTTTTCACATAAAAAAACCAAATTTGTAAAAAAAAATTGCTATCTTTTTTTTATATATTTAGGAAAAGCATATATAAATAAAGTATGTATATGTGTTTTATATAAAAATTTGGTAGCTTGCATAAGTTTCAAAGATTGAAAATAAAATATCCTACTTTATTTTATTGTGAAGTCTTAACATTTTATAGTTAGAAAGTAATTTGATTGATTTTTTTCATAGCATTATTATTTTATGTTCCTTATTGTAATTGAAAAGTTAAGAACTATAATAATTCTTTCAAATAAATAAATAAATTCAATGATAAACAAATAAAGTAAAAACTATAGAAATAATATTAGTATTTGAATTATATAATGTTATGTAAGATTACATAAAAATTCTTCTTTATTTTCATCTTAAAATGGAATTCAAATATCGAAAAATAAATACATGAAATATCTCATATAAAAAATATTATTATAAGCGATATTACATCATAGATCTACATTACAGATCTATATAAACAGATCTATATATACAAATATATAAACATATGAAAAATATAAATATGTATAATATTTACATAATATTTAGAATCGATTTGTAGAAACGTCATTTTTCAACATGCCACATTTATTAGATATGACATATTTCCACGATTTTTATATAATTATTATATTTTAATATTAAAAAATATAATATTTCAAATATTTCTAAAAAAAAAATTTCAAAGAATTTATTATAAGATAATATAATTATACAAATTTGTCGAAAAAAACTTGTAAAACTATTCAATACATTTCAATACATTGGAAAATAGTTATTGAAAAAATTATTTGGTAAAATATTAATTCTATAAAAATATCACTGCTTTTACTCTTTTTTTTAAATTTGGTTATAAATTTTTTAAATAATTTAAAATATTTTGAAAGTATTATAAATATTATTATTTATTATTATTATTTAATTGCATAGAAAATAAAAAAATAATAATATTTAATAGTAACAGTAATTTATATATAGTAAAGTACATATATAGTAAAGTACATAAATACATATAGTAATTAGTATCTCCAATTTTTCCAAATTTGGGTATTTAAATTGTTCATAAAAAATTATTAAACAATTTTTGCAAAAAGACAAATATTTTTATCAAAATGACAACAATTTTTTATATAAATAGGTAAAATATAAAAGTATGATACATTTTTTTAATAAATGTGAATGAATTTATTATTCAATCTAATAAATTATTTAAAAAATTTCTTTGAATAAACATTCATAAATAAGTAAGAAATTTTTTCAAAAATAATAGGATATATGATATCAAAAATAAAAATTAAAATTAAAATTGTATAAAGATATAATAGTGTAAAGCTAAAATATATTTCTATATATAAGTATAAATATATATGCATATAAAATTTCTCTGAAAAAATATACCGATTACGATTTATTATAAAAGATTTAATTTTTTATATAAAAATAATCACATAAATATAAATGAGCTTAAATTTTGAATTACAATAATCTTATTGTTCTTACAAGATATTAATTTAAACGTGATTTTAAAAATTCTTTCAAACAAAAGTTAATATGAAAAAATATCAGTTGAAACTTATTTATTAAGTCATAATCAATTTAGTTCGTATTAAATAAAGAGAGATGATGCAATACTGATGAAATAAAAATAGAACGAAATTCATTCTATTTCTCGCTTTATCTAATGCAAACTTTAATTGTTTATAACTTAATAAATAAGCTTTAATCAATATTTTTGTGCATTATTCATATATCATTTATATATTTATAAATCGAAATCAAGATATTTTCTATATTTTGAAAAAAATATTATAATAATTTATATATTTATATAAATAAATAAAGACTTAAATTTTATGAAAATGAAAATATAATTTACTTATTTCATCTTTTTTCTATAATTTTTAGAAAATTAATTATCCAATAATATAGATGAAATACAATATTTAAGTTATTTATAACATTATACGCTTTAAATTTTGCTCAAAATTAAGAGGATTAAAATTTTATTTAAATACTATAGATATAATAACGAATTATATTCATATATTATGGTATGCACTTTTTGATACAAGCTTGCTATGAATCATTGAAAATAAGTCATAACTTAATTTACTTACTATTACTACTAGAGAAAAAAAAGATTTTTAAATTCATTATTCTAAATCCAATTTATAGATTAAAATAAATAACGATGGCTTCTCTTGTTGGCTTCTTAGTGAAGACTAAATCGTTAATCATTAGTTCACGAGAAGTATAATGGACGATATATAACATATATATAAATATAGATACATTATGATAAATATTTGTGTCGTCATTTAAAGGAAAGCAGGAAAGCAGTGACACACTTGATCAAAAAACCTATTATTTGAACAGAGAATTTTCGATGATATCTATTTTTCTTACCATTAATAATACCGATAAATCTCTACTTATAAATAACAATCTCTGTTATCTTTGATACATAGATATATCAGAAAGCAAAATGTAAATATCTATACGCATATATTACAAAGTGAGGCAGAACTTCCAAATTTTTAAATAAAAAGATAGGAATAAGATTCTCAAAACTTCGAAACCTCAAAATGCTTTGAAATTTAGAGAAAGAGATATTGAATTTTTGAATTTTAAAACTTCTATTCTTGCTATTTTTATGGTTCTTGAAATATAAATTAATTAATAATTAAACTATTCGAAAATATTGTAAAAATATTATAATTGAGTTTTATATATAGGCATATTTTAATTGGTATTATTCACTAATTTATTACAATAATTTTATAATTAATAGTTTATTTTTAGTATTAACTAATAGTTAATTCTTATACTCTCAACTCCTTAATTGTTGGTGCTTAAAATTAAGATTTATTTTAAAATTATTAGAATTAAAACATTAATTAAAATTCTGAGATATATTATCTATATTCGATAACTTATGAATAAAAGTATTTATTTTATTTAAAATATACAAGATAATAATATTGAAATTTTTTTTAAACATTGATTTCCATTGAAAGATTTATTCAATTGATTTCCTTTAAAAATTGATTCATTCATTTTGATTGACATATATTATTATATAATTACATTATGTATATTGGTAAAGATAATAATCGAATTGATCAAATACTATTTACCGAAACATAAGGAAGAAGATTTAAATAATATAAGGTCACTGATTCTTTCTTTTACCAATAACTTCTCATTCGTGTAATAAGAGCTGACATTCATGAAACTGGTTTTAAGAATTCATTCATTTATTTTATTTAGATTAATGTTCTCAAAGTAAAATTGATAAATGAAAAAAATTTCGTGAATTATAATTCATTAGTTTTTCTTCTTACTGTTTGCATTATATTTCACTTTATTTTAATAAAAATAATTAAAAAAATTTAACTCATATATAATAAGTTATTCGTCTAAAATTTGAATTCTTTGAAATTAGAATTAGAAAAAAACATAAAATAAGATTATTTTAGTATTACTTTTAAAAAATATTTAATTATTAATTAAAAAATATTCTTTGAAAATAATTTAAACAATAATTCAATTATAAATTAAATAAAGAGAATTTTATTATTATTATACACAATTTTATTTAAATAATTATATAATAATTATTAAATAATTATAATAATTATAATATGTATTTATATATATATATATGTTATAATATAATATATTTTTAAAGAAATCATTTTGAAATATTTTTATGAAAAAAAATTATTAATTATTTAACGATTTATTGATTTGTTTTATTATATTGTAATAATTCTTATTAAAATAAATATTATAATATAAAACCTTACTTTTTCAATCTTTTTTCTTTAAGTTAAATCTTAAGATTGTCGATTTTTTATTATTTTTTTTCGTCATTGTTCATATATATTTATATGTATTATTTGGCATGCTTATAATCTTTTATTTTGTAAGCTTATTTGGATTTTGCAAAATTAAGCAATAAATTTTGTTTTTTGCTTTTATACATTATTCCCTGCTTTTTTATTATGCAATTTATTTTTTTTATTTAACATTAATTTATTATAAAATTTTGAAAAAATAAAATTTTCAATCCAAATATATTAATAAAATATATTATAAATGTAATATAAAATAATATTTTGAATAATTTATTTAAAAGAAAAAAAAATATTAATTTATATTTATGTTAAATTTATTTAAATTTCAGAACGAATTAACAACACTTCAAAGAGACGAAATATTTTACAATGCAATTGAAAGAAATGAAGAAAATATTTAAGAACATCATGTGACATATTTATTAAAGAAATAATTGTGAAATCTATTATGTACGTATGAGTATTTGAAAAAGAGAAAGATTTAATTTTAATTTAGAATTATTATAAATTATATTTAAATGAAATATTCTTTGTAATAGATATATTTAATGCATAGAATTAATATAATATTTTTCATAATTTTTATCGTAATTTTTATCGTAATTTCAAATCCTCTTAATTAAAGAAAAAAAACAATAAAAAAATAAAAAATTCAATATTATAATTTATACTAAGCATTATATTGTTTTGGCTTAATAAATAATTCTTTCTATTTGTAAAATAATAGTATTAATATTAGTATATAATAGTATATACTACTTTTTACAAAATTTTGATTACATATTTATGAACTACAAACAAAAAATAAACAAATATAAAATAAATTTTTTTTATAAAATTTCTTTCTGTGTGAATAATCGATCATGTAAGAAATTAATAACTTAAGCCATTTTATATATATATATATATATATATATATATATATATATATATTCTCTATGGTAAATATTTTATAATTCTAAAAGATTCAGAACTGAAGGAAGTAGTTATCCAACAAAGATATTGATTCTTATTTCTGATATGGCGTTTTTTTGTTGAAGCTAGAAAAAAACACTGATTGAAAGAAACAATAAATTCCAAGAATTGAGGTATTCGAAGAAAACATTGTAGAAATAATATATATTAAAAAACTGTAAAATTTATTTGTTTTTTTGAAATTATTTCTTATTTTTATTTTATTTTTAATTATTTTTACTTTATTTTAATATTTTTTAATATTTTTTATATATTTTAAATTATACTTTACAACACATTTGTAAAGTTTTTTCAATTAAACTAAAATTAAATTAACAATATAATTTAAATTATATTTAATTATTTAATAAAGAAAAAAAAGAATTATTATTAGTTATTAAATACACAAATTATCATCCAAATTATATCGCGTTTATTATTTTAATTAATTAATTTTAGAAATATATTAGTAAATATTTCATTTGATAATCAAAAATAATTAAAATCAAAAATAAAATTTTAAGATATTATTGTTTCGCGAATATTTGATTCTGATTCGGGATCAAATATATTGCTCGAGATATATCAAAGGAAATTCTTCAGTGATAGAAATAAGTGTTTTTTAATTCATAAATAAGATAAGCTTTTGCAATTCTAAATAATTATTAAATATTTAAAAGTAAAAAAAAATATATATGATTAGTATAAAATAAATACATTAAATTTTAGAAAATTTTACATATCATTTCTTCTCATTTTTCTAATATGAAATTTAATCGAAAATTTTCGTGGATATTACAAAAATATAATTTCTCAAAAAATTTTATCAAAAATGCAGGAAAAAATTCACATTTTTTCCAACTACATTTTTCTATTATAAAAATTTTAATTTGGACAAAAAATTTTGCCAAAATATCAGGATTTTTATATTAGGAAGATATAATAGTATGAGAAAAAGTAGCAAAATTTCTTGTAAAATTTAAAAATTTGAAGTTTTCAAGTATTCAAGTCATTGTGATTTTGTATCAAAAGAATATAATCTATGAAAATCAAAAATAATTTACATTATAATATTCCTAATGCTAAATTTGAAATCTACATACGTAAATCGACCATAATTATATTCTTATATCAAAAACAATTGGCTATCGCTACATTTAATTATAATTCCTTTTGTCTTAATATCACTGTTATCTAATTTTATTTTGAATCAATAATATCGCATGTGACATAAGAATACTAATGGAGATTACATAGTTTTCAGACTATGTGACACAAAAATGCATTGAGTGACGTCTATTCTATGTTTCATATCTAGTCTGTACTTTGACTATCATTTAAAATAAATAAATAAATAAATATTCTTAAATTAATAAAATTGACAATTTATTTCATCATGTTTGCATATTGAAGACATCTATGTTGATTATGAATACTATCAATGCCAAGTCTAACTTAATTGATATTTTAAATAACAGTTATTTCGTTACTTGCGATTCATTAATATAATGATTATTTTAGAAGTGAATATGTAACACAATATGAAATTTTTTATTTTGGTATAAATATATTTAAATAAAATTTCAAATTAAATTTTTAAAATATAAACATAACCTCAACAATAGTAATGCTTGTTTTACGTAGTTTTCAAAATACAAATTTACTTGTATTGCTTGGTGGTCTTTTATTGTGTCTTGTTTTTATGATACAAGTGAAACAAATTTATAATAACAATCAAAAATATAATAGATATTTAGGATATAAAGAATATGTAAGGTTTCATAAAAAAATATATATGTATATCCATTATTGAATTTATTTTTAAATATTTATCGATTTGTTTAAACTTTAGATGAATGAAATATCAACAGAACTAAAAGCAATAGAGAAATCCGCAAACAAGTCGTCAAGCTTTATTCGTCAATTAAATGAAATACTTTTAAAACATCGTGATAAGGATATAAAAAATGTGACTATATCACATCCTCTTTTTTGATTATAAATCATTATAGGTATATATTTATAATATATATAATATATATAATATAAAATTATTAAATTTAATAAGTAAATTCTTAAATTAATATTCATAAAAATTTAATTTATAAATTAACAAATGAAAATCTTATATTTCAATTAAAATATGAAACATACATATAATTGTCATTTATAGTTAAAAAAATACTAATAAGCAAAAATTGCATAATATTGAAAATAATATACAAGATTTTATAAAAATTTTTTAATATCTATCTTTAATATAAAAATACTGAAAAAAATTTATAATATTCTGTTGTTATATAACAAGTTATAACATATATATTTTCCAGTTAAACATTATATTTATTGATTTTTTTAACAATTTATTTAAATACCCATATACTATTTCTACAATATTTTTAATTAAATAAAAAAAATATAATTGAATAAATAAATATATTTTTTATTCAATTTATTGCTTATATAATATTGAGTATTTATGAATATATTTATTATTATGAGTATATTTATATTATTTATGAGTATTTATGAGTATATATTAATATTGAGTATTTATGAGTATTATTTGAAAATATTTTTTATATTATAAAAATTAAATAATCTAAATTAATTAATTAAATTTTGAAGAGGCATACATTGTGCTTCTTTAGTTTTAATATCATTGAGAATTCCTGTAGGTGCGCAAAGCCAAGGATCATTGGTTATTTTCTGCCATTTTAATAATCTTTCTTGTAAATCACTAAATATATTCTAAAAAATAATTTAATAATTTAAAGTTGATTTATTACAATTAGAATATAAAGAATATTTTGATTTTAATTACTTTTGCTGATGATTTAGAAGCAATATTATTTTTTTCTTCTGGATCATATTTTAGATCATATAATTCCCATTCTGGTCTTTCATAATAATTTTCTAATGTTTTATACCATGGAAGTGGTTGTTTGTTTTTAGTTCTATTCAAAAGATCCTTTAAATAAAAAAAATGATATTCATTTATAATTTATAATATGATTTATAATGTGATTTCTTTCATAAATTTTTTTCATATTATTTATTAATATGATTATATTTATATTTATAATTATATTATATATTTTTTGTAGATCACCTGGAATGTTGGTGAAACATAAAAGTCTTGATCAATTGGAAATGGCATTTTGTAATTAATATTATGTATAAGTTTATATCTTTTGGTTCTAATTGCACGCATGGGATAATACATAGTAATTTCATGATGAGTTTGACTGGCAAAAATAGCTGTATTATTTTCTATAGGTTCTGCAAATGCATATGCAAAAATAAAAATATAATATTAGAATATTGAATGCTAAGATAATTTAAATATACCTTGAATAAGAAGAGGAAGAAGAGATTTTCCAGTTAAGAAAGGAACAGATGTTTCATTTGTATCAAATAGAGATAGATCCATATATGGTATGTTAAACCAATCTAATAATGTTGGTACAATATCCAATAAAGATGTTAAACTGTATGTTATACTATTTCTTCTGTGATTAGGAATTGGAGACCTAATCATCATAGGTTCTGCTAATCCTAACATAGTAAATATAATTATTTTTTTATACCTTAATATTTTTAATCTTAATTTAAAAAAAGATTATTTAATCATTATATAATATTTTTTATGTATACTATTATTTACCTGGTTCATATAAATTTGTTCGACCATTTGGAAATGGTATACCATTATCAGATGTATAGATCACTAATGTGTTGTCTTTAAAACCAGCATCTTCCAGTTCTTTTAAAATTAATCCTACACCTATAAAAGTTTTAATTTCTTGTCTATTTCTAATTCATCTATTATTAGTTTTATTATATTAATATATTTTTAATATAATATAATATTACATATTTTATATTTATTGTATTAATAACATTTAATATTTAATTTTTTAAAAGAATAAAACAAAATTTTAAATAAATATTTGTAATAAAAAGATATAATTATATAAAGATATAAAGATATAATTATATAAAGTAAAAAATTATATATTTTTTTAAAGTTATAATTTAAATAATAAATAAAATGTTTTATCTCTAAGACAAAATTACATTATTGTAATTTGCAACTTATATATTATTATATAATAATGCAATACTTAAATTAAATTAACATTTTAATGTTTTTTAAAAAAAATATATTAATTTTTATTTTTTTCTATTATAAATAATATATTTGAATAATTATTTAATAATTTTTTAATATCATTAATATTTTTGTTACATATTAATTTCTAATAATTTAAATATCTAATTTTAATTTTATTTAATAAATATACCTTGATCTAAACGAGAAATTGTTGTATATTGAGCAGCAATATCTCTTCTAGCTGCTTCTGTATTTTGAATAAAATATGGAACTTTTACTTGTTCCCATTGATAATATATTGGATTCCAATCAGAAATAGTACCCATACCAATATCTCCATTACCAAATTTTTCACAAAAATTTCCATATTCTGGATGTGTATAACCACATCGATGAGGATCATGAAATCCAATATATAAAAAAAAGGGCCTAAAAATGAAATATTACAATTTATATTATATTTATCTTTGTCTTTTAATATCATAATTTAAAATTACTATCATAAAGTTATAGTTTGATAGAAATTTTACATTAATAGAGAAAAATTAATTTGAAAGCTAAAAAAAATTCATACTTTGTTTTATTCTGAGAGAAAAATTCTCTAACTAAAAGTTTAATTTTAGTAATATTTCGACCAACTTGAAGTATAGAATTATTTTCTTCTGTTTGTGAAAAATCAAATGGATAAACATTGCTTGGACCTACATGCTTTTTACCAATAATACCTGTAAAATATTCATAGATGATTCTTGAATTTTACACTTATTAAATTTTGAAAATTTTACCTGTTCTTATATTATTTTTCTTTAATATTTTTGGTAAACTTTGAACTGTTTCAAATGAATTAAAATGATGAATTCCATGATGAAGACCATACATTCCATTTTGATGACTTGGTAAACCAGTAAGTAAAGAGGAACGACTAAAATGTATAAAAATTATAAAAATATAATATTAAAATGATAATATGATAATAATATAAAATATATAAAAATTATAAAAATACAGTAAAATAATGATATGATAATAATAATATAAAATATTAAGTATTTGAAACTAATAAATAATAATGATACCTAGGAGAACAACTGCTAACTGAAGAATATGCATTATTAAATAATAAACTTTCTTTTGCCAAATTATCTAAATTAGGTGTTTGGCAAATTTTATTCAAATAGGATCGCATTTCAAATCCACCATCATCAGCTATATATATAAGTATGAAATTTTATTATTTATTATTTATTATAAAATAAAAAAAAATATGAAATATTTTTTAATTAAAAATTATATTATAGATAAATGATATTAAATAAAATTTTGTAACATTATATATATATATATATATATAAATAACAAAATATTTTTAAAAATTTTATTCAAAAAAAAAGATTAGATGAAAAAAATTTATCATAAAATTATATATTTTCAATTTTTTATATTTTAATTTTTTTTACCTAAAAGTAAAACAGCATTTTTATGCGGCATAATGTTTGCATTTGTATTACGTAATTCTAATAAGATAAGATAAATAAAATAGTTAAATTTATTCAAGTAGATTCTTTTTAACATTATTATAATATTTTAGATAAAAACTGATGAAGATAAGAACTGATGAAGAACACATCAAATTAGCCACGTATCAGTTTATACATCGTCTGTATTTTTTTATTTTATAATATATATAATGTTAAATTTATTTTGTGGTCGATAAAAGTAGAAATTAAATGTCAATTTAATTATAATTAAAATATTGTACAATAAAATATTAATTTCATTTTTATTTATATGTCAATAAATTATATAATAGGTTATATTTGTTATTCTATTATTGACATATGTTAATATTCGATAATGTTTTTAAAAATTGTATATTTTTTTTATTAAAAATGTATTATATTCTATTTTTCTATTTTTTTGTCGACTTAAAAATATATAAATTATATCAAAATTTGAATATTATTAATATAAAGTTTGAATATGTTTCGGTTTGTCAAAAAAAATTACATAAAAAAGGAATTGTTAATATAATATAATAATGAGAAAGATAATGACTAAAATAATAAGTATAATAACGAGTTTTATATGTGATTTAAGTAACGTATTTGTTTTATACGATAATTTTTTAAAGATAAAAATAATCTTTTCGTATTGATAATTTTTAATATTTAGTTTAAAAAATTTTTTAATAATTTTTATTTTTTTATGGATTTTTTTTTAGTATTCTTTTTTTATTAAAAATTTAATTTCGAAATTTATATTTCAGATTAAGTAAATATACAATATTATTTTACTATGATGAAGAAGATAATATGTTTATTTGATGTTGATGGCACACTTACAGATCCTAGACAGGTATATGTACAATGAAAATAAAAAATATATTGTATAATTATAAATATATAATATATAAATATATATAAAATATATAAATAAACTCTTATTTAATTTCTCATTAGGCAATTAAACCATCTGTAGAGAAATTTCTTTTGGAAACTGTTAGAAAGGAATTTGATTTAGCTGTAGTCGGTGGATCAGATTTAAATAAGATTAAAGAACAATTAGGTGGTAAAAGTATATTTGAAAAATATAAATATGTTTTTGCAGAGAATGGGCTTATTGCATTTAAAGATGATAAACAGTTGCCTACTGAAGTAAGTAATATAATTAGAAAATATATTTTATAAAGTTTTCTATGTACTTTTATGTTATTTATTTAAAATTTGACTTTTTATTTTAGACAATTCAAAGTATTATTGGTGAAGAGGCATTGCAAGATTTAATCAATTTTTGTTTAAAATATATATCAGAATTACATTTGCCATTCAAACGTGGAACTTTTATAGAATTTAGAACAGGTATGATTAATATATCACCTGTTGGTCGTAATTGTACTAAAAAAGAGCGTATTCAATTCTATGAATATGATCTTGAACATCAAATTCGACAGAAATTTATTCAAGCTATTAAAAAAGAATTTCCAGATCTTGCTTTAACATATAGTATAGGTAAGTAAGATTTTTTATATTTATATAAAAAATTATTTTGCATAAACATTCAATATAGATATAATTACATTTATTTTTCTTTTGATTTATATTTATTTCAAAAAATTATATTTATCATATTTAATATCAGTATTTTTAATTATAGTATATTAATCTAAAAAATTATTAAAATTATTTGTTTTGTTAAAATTTTTATTAAACATATATTTTTTTATATTTATAGGAGGTCAAATATCTTTTGATGTTTTTCCTATTGGTTGGGATAAAACATATTGTCTTAGACATATTCGAGGATATGATGAAATACATTTCTTTGGTGATAAAACAACAGAAGGTGGTAATGATTATGAAATTTATGAAAGTGATTTAACTGTTGGACATAGTGTGACATGTCCTGAAGATACAATTAATCAACTTAACATTCTTATGACATTTATGAAAGAAAAAAGAGAAAAAGAACAATTGGAATTTCCTATACAATGTGCGTAATGAATTAAATATTTTATCTAATATACAAAAGATATATTATTTATATAAGTTTGTTTTGCTAATATTGCATTTCATTTATAGTATTAAATTTTCATTTTTAAAAGAAATTTTTTAAAAAAATTGCATCTAATTTTTTAGCTGCAATAAAAAAATTTAAAGCATTTGATATTTTATATTTATTAATCAACCAAATTATTGAAATATATGTATAATTGTATGACAAAATAGATTTATATCTCTTTATGAAATATTACTTTAATATTAGTTTATATTATATTTTATTGATATTATGTGATGAAATTTATAAAAATGTAAATAGTAAATTTCAAAATAATTATATTATATGTTACCATAATATATTTTATATGTATTTAATAGGGTTTTAATTGGTTTTATAAAACATTAAGATAGATATATAACATATATTATATATTTATTTCATTGTTTTTTTTTTAATAATATTACATATAATTAATTTTTTATTTTTTAAATACAAATTTATAAATTCAAAAGATTTAATTTCAATTTTTTTTCATTTTTATTTGATTATATATATATTTATATATATTATATATATTATATATATATTCTATCTAAAAGATTTTATATAAAATAGATGATGAAATTACTTAAAAAAAAAAAAAAAAAAGAATATTTATATTTTTATATAGAGCATAATTTATTATTACTAATTTTTATATAGAGCATAATCTTATATTTTTTATTTTATTTAAGATAATAATATTACATAAATATAAATAAAATAAAATGAAAATCATGAAATTTTATAAACATAATTTTATTTTTTAAAAATAAATTTTGTATATAGATGCACACACACACACACACACACACACACACACACACACACACACACACATATATATTAACATAACAAAATTAATATAAACTATATAAATTCTGGAATTTTAAATCACATATAAAAATACTTAAAACTATGAATCTTATGTAATATTATTTCTATATTATACTAAATATTAATTTGCTATTTTTGTAGATTTCTGCTTAAATACAAAGATGCTTGAACTTTTGTAAACATGTATATAAAAATTAGTCATATTATAAAAATGTAGTAAATAAATGGCATATTTCCTACATTTAGTATCTATTAAAATGCATATTCTTGATATGTTAATAATTAAGCGTAACAAATTCGTAAAACACTCATATTTCAATATTTCATTTTGATATATTTACATTCCTTGATAAATAGGTATACGTTTTGTTATAAATGCTGCTAATCCTTCAATTCTGTCTTTTGTATCCACAACTTTACTATAACATTGTTTTTCAACTTCAAGTCCATCTGTAATAGATACTTGAAAACCTTTTGACATTGCTGTTTTTGCCATTCTAAAACATAATAAAAATAAAAAATAAGTATTATCTGTTATAATATATTATATTATGTATTATGTTTAAAATATAAATATAATTATATTATAAATTTGTAAAAATTTTGAAAGTTAATAGATTTTTATTAAATAAATTTAATTATTATCAATTGTTTGAAATTGTTAATATTTTATTTTATCAATTTTTAGAAACACAACTTTACTATAACATTATTAACAGAGAATATTTAATATTATCTTTATACTTACTTAACTCCAATAGGACCATTAGGTAAAATTTCTCTGGCAATTGTTAAAGCAGTTTGATAAGCAGCATCACCACTTTTATTTTGAGGAACTACTTGATTTATTAAACCAATTTCCATAGCTTGTTTACCATCAACTATACGTGCAGTATAAATAAGTTCCTTTGCTTTAGCAATTCCAATTATTCTTGGAAGTCGTTGTGTCCCACCTGCTCCAGGAATAATAGCCCATTTTGTTTCTACAAGTCCCATTTTGGAATCTGATGCTGCAACTCTAATATCTGTGGCTAGAGCAAGTTCTAAGCCACCACCTAATGCAGTACCATCTATAGCAGATATTACTGGAGTTGGTAATGTCTCTATACTATTTGTTATGTTTCTTAAAAATGAAACAAATTTTAAAATTTCTGAATTATCCATCCTTCTTCTTTCTCTTAAATCTGCACCAGCACAGAAAATTTTTGGAACCAAACTACGAATAATTAATACTCGTAATTTTGTATCTTCTCTGATGGAAGAAATAGCATCATTTAGTTGACTAGTTAAAGTTTTGCCAAGAGCGTTAGAAGCAGTGGGTCGATTTAATCCTAATACTACAATACCATTATCTTTTCCATCCAAATATTTAAGTATTATTTCTTTTACATCATTTTTTGGATTTAACATTGCATTGGTAGATAATGCTCTTAGAGTAATTGTATAAAGAGAATGAAAAGTATATTTAACTCTTGTAGTTAAAGGACCCATTATATAAAGCTTGTATATGAACAATAAATTAAGTCTCGTGCAATTACAATTAAGCTAAAAAAATAATTTTTATGATTAAAAAAATAATATAAAAGAACAAAGCTTGATTAATTTAAAAATTATTTTAAATTAATTAATTTAAAATTANTTTTAATAATTGATTATATTGAAAATAGTTTAAATTAAATTTTAATATAAATATAAACTTTTATTTTAATATATATAAAAAGTGTATATATATACGTATATATATGTATATATATGTATATATATACACTTTTTATATATATTAAAATAAAAGTTTATATTTATATTAAAATTTAATTTAAACTATTTTCAATATAATCAATTATTAAAAATTTAACTAAATATATTTGAGAAGTAATAGAATAAGAAAAATAAATCAAATCACTGATACTAATATTAATAACTAATATTAATTAATACTAATATTAATTAATTAATAACTAATATATTAATATGAACACAAATCTTGATCACTTGCAAATAGTGTCGGCATATTTATATCATTAATTTATATGCTTATTATTAAATATTTATGTAAAAAGCATAATAATAATGAAATGTAATAAAAAAATAAATCTTGAAAAATTGTCTAAATTAAATTTGCAAATTATTAAATATATATAAAAAAAATACATTAAAAAATGTAAATACCGTATCCCTTTCAAATCGTATAAGAATGTCACAAGCGACTCCTTGGACTTTACGCACTGTCGCGTTCAACGTTCAACCAATAACATTTGTGGTAGGGAGAATTGAGGAAAGTTCAAATATAACGTAGTAATCTCAACCTAACCTTCAGTACTTCCAACGACGACGTAAACGTAACTGGTTGTTGCAGAAAATGAAAGGAAAATATACTTTGCGATACTACTGAAGTTGTATGTGTTTTTATACATTGTTTGTATGTACATGTGCGTATATATGCACCATATATACATAGATAAGATTTCAAACATCTATTTTACGTTAGTCGATATGTTTTTCAATCTTTTGATTAACTTGATGAAGTATAGCTAAAGTTATCAGAATGAAACAAAAGCAAATAAAATAAAATTGAATATATTATATTTTTAATAATTATTTAAAAAAAGGAAATTATATATCAAGAAATATGAGAATGTAATGTTTGCAATTTGTTTTAATTTTAATTTTAATTTTTGAATTTTTTATTCATAAATGTTTTGAATTATGCAAATTTGCAATTAAGCAAATAATACTAAATAAATTTAATAACAAATAAAAAATTTAAGTATTGTTTATATTATAAGTAATATAATTCGTTTTAATTATAAGTTTGAAAATTAGATTTGAATTTGATAAAATATTTGTCTGATTTTTACTTTTTTTTTTATTAATATTTCAAATAATTTAATTCAAAAAATATCTGATAATGATATCTTTTGACTATGATTTTATTATATTATTTTAATATTATTTTAAGATTTTTATTGGAGAAAAATAAAAAGAAAAAAAAAATAAAAATAATATTGAAATTTTTCTAGTAAATTAATTACATATATGTAATTACATATATGTAATTATATTTCTTAATGAATTAATTATTTCCAGTTAATAGTTTTTTAATTTCATTTAAAAATTGTATTATAAGATTTATAAATTATTATATATGTTAGCAATTTCGAAACTTATTGTTAACGTATATATTGTTTTATATATATATATAATTAGCTACTTCTAAATTTAACTTCTAAAACTATTTGTATCAAATTGTTGTATAAATTGTCAGATAATTTATATTTTTTTCTTCTTTCGATGAATCAGTCATAATTTTTTCCAATTTTCATAATTGTAAAGGAAATAAACAAGTTAGATATAATAATTTATGTTTTCAGTGGATCTTTTTTTTTTTAAATTAAATAATTCAATTTGTCTATTTATTTTAATATTTTATCATATTTTCGAAACAGAAAAAAAATAATAAAATAAATTTTTAAATTTGATTAGAAAATTATTTGAAAAATCGATAAAAATTTTACATTATTAATTTTATTAAAAATTGTATAAAATATAAAATTAAAATAAAATATTACAAAATATTACATTAAAAATGATTATAATTACGTTTTATATTATTAATAAAAATATTATTTTAAAAATTGAATATTCTTACTTATATTAATATTCTTAATATTGAATATTCTTAAAAATTAATTTTTTGGAGAATAAATTATAAAATAAATTATTTCATTCAATTAATGATTATAAATTAAACAATATTGCACTTTATGAACAATGATAACGATGCATGATTACCATAATTGAAGAAGTAAGATAATCTAAAATTAGAACCCTCAGTTTTCAATCTAAAAAGAAATAAAATCGGTGAAACTAGCAGTGTATATAAAATATTGTATGTATAAAGATATATCATAAATATTATTATTTAAAAATTGATGAATCATTAATCATTGAAATTGAATGTATTAAAAAAATTTTATTATAAGTTTAATTTTATTATATTTTATTATAAATTATATAACAAATTAATTTATAGTAATTATAAAACGATAAGAAATAATATAATGATAATAATATAATTTTTAATTTTATAGAAAATGTTATAAGAAATTCATAATTCGTTATTTAAATTTTATAAAAAATTTTAAATACTTTAATTTTATAAATTT